TCTTAATTCATGGCTATTATAATAGGAAGGTCAACTGGTAGGCCATGGAATGGCCCTTTTCTACTGAAACAGTTAACCTAAGTCCCATACCATATTTCTAGAGGAATTCTAGTGATTAATGCCACCATTAAAGACTTGAAAGATGCAAAGGTGGTGATTCTCACCGCACTCCCTTTTAACCTATCTGGCCTGGGTAGAAGATGAACGGGTCATCTAATATGTGGATCCGGATGTAGTCTTTTTATTAGGTGAGTAAGTACAATTCTTAGCATCTACTATGCAGATATCGCTCTGGCAAATGTCTTTTATTCACCCTAATATGTGTAGAACAACTGAACTTGTTTTTTAATCTGGAAGTGAGGAAACGTGAGAGATTTTATTGCTTTATGTAAGAGGTATGTTAGTTCTTTAGTTCTCTGTCATACTATAGTGTGCAGAGACCATGATCATTTCACCGCCTAATGGGACATCACTTTTGTCTAATGCATTAATTGTATTGTGCTGACAGAACCTGATGATCAGAAAATGGCACATACTTCAATGCCTTGTGTAGTAAATTGTGTTTCCATAGACGCAATGTAACTTTGACACTATCCCAACAAGAGATGGAATCTTTTACTTTTTCTCTTCTATTTGGGCTGGCTCTCTGATATATTTTAGATAGCAAAAAGCAGCAGAAGTGGTTCTGTGTAATTGGGGTGGCCTTAGATCTGCAGCTTCTTCCTTTGCTACCGGGGACACTCCCTCTTAGGACACACCTGCCATGAACAAAAGCTCAAGTTGGCCACCTGCAGAGCCACATGGATAGGGTGAAGGAAGACTTAGCCTTCCAATTGAGCCCACCTAGTCACCAAACACATAATTTTGGATATTCCAGCCTCAGCAGCTATCTGGCTGCAACCCGATGAGAGACACAAGCAATTGCCATATGGAGGAAAAAACCCACCCAGCTGAACCCTGGCTGAATTTCTTACCACAGAATAATGAACAAATAAAATGGTTGTTCTGTTAAACCCTAAGTTTGTTAAAACAGCAAAAGAAAACCAAAACATGTTGGAAAGAACACAAGTAACTCAAGTGGGGAATAAAACCTAAGAAAATAATTTATTACACAATGAAACTATTTTTTTAAATTGCTTTTTTATTTTGTTAAAATTTATTTGTATTCATCAAGTATCTTTAAACTACTATTTCATTGTTTACTACTATTTCATTTTACTGTTTACTACTTTTCATTTCATTATTTCATCTTACTATTTCATGACTACTTTTACCATTATAGTATATATTTGTTCCTATGAGGAAGAAAAACAAAATTACTATCCAACATTGCACCTTGCATCCTACACACAGATGTACCACAATGATGTTTTAAATGCTTTATATCAGAGGTCTGTACACTCTGTCCTGAGCCAAATCTATCCTGGTATCTACTTTTGTAAATAAAGTTTTTACAGAACAGAGCCAAACCATGTGTTCATGTATCCTTTATGAAATCTTTATGCATCAAGGACAGAATTAAATATGACAGAGACTGTATAATCCACAAAATCTAAAATATTTACTATGTGGCCTTTTACAGAAAAAAGTACGTTGGCCTCTGCTTTAAATTATGAGAAAATCCTTAATGTATTATTTTGTAAGTAGTCAAGTATTTAATGATATTTGGGGAAATTGATTGGCATTTTTGGTGGGCTGGATGAATTTTTTTCCATTTAAATAATTTAAAATAAGGGATCTTTCTATCCAAAACTTCATTATCCAACCAGATTTCAAATTCAAATTTAGATTAGATTTAGAAGATGAGAGATGCCATATTTACCTGGGCAGTTCAAATAGTCAGTTTGAGAATCTAATATAGTCATCTTGAGATTTTGTGATTGCTTTTCCTTTTGCATGTCTTATAAAGGTGGTTATATCTAACACTGATGCAATTTAATTATTTTTCATAAGAGAAGCCTAACTTCCGTGTACAATTATTTTATTATGACAAGCTAGTAAGGTTAGCTAGAATCCCAGGTAAGTGCTGGAAAAACCCTCAAAATTACTTTCCTTGCACCGATTTCACGTGTCCACTTCCGTTGTTTTTTTTTTTTTTTTTCCTTAAACAAGGAAGACTAGCCCAGAGTAGCCGTTAGTTGACTTGCCAGAGCTCATGATCCATCAGTAAGAGATGGATCCGTTCTCCACAGCTTTTTATCATTTGCATATATGGAACAGTTATATGTTCTTTATGAATGAACTCTTAAACTGCCATGAACTTCTTGCTGGACAAGTAGCACTGGAAAACAAAACAAAACAAAGCTTTGCTGTAATCATCAATGGAAAATGTTCTTAAATAAAACCAATAATGAAATATGCCATGGCGTGGCTAAACTGCTTAAATGACATGTGAAATTCGCTCTATTTGCTTATCTCCCATGATGGTGCACAATTCTTAACACGAACTTCAAGGTGAGGTGGAGACTTTTTTAGTTTCCCAGGTAAAACTTCGCCTGGCTTGTTCAGGAGCGTAGAGATCATACTCGTTGCCTGTCGTACAGATGCAAAGAATTTGAAATCTGAAAGTCGCCTTAGATCACCGTCCAGGTCCCTAATTTAACAGAAGAAAAGGCCTGGGGAAGATCTCAGCTAAACAGCAATACTATATATTTAAAACAAAACAAAGTTCCTTTGTAGTCGCGGTTGCTTGGACTTTTTCAAATGTCCCCTTTAAAAAGCAAAAGCAGGGCAATTCCAGGCCAACTGTTAGAAAATGCGGAATCTATCGGTCTTATTTCCTTTTTTTAGGTTGAGCTCAATTGATATTTTTGGTAACTATACGAAAGTGAGGCCTCTCCCGTAAAACAAAAGGCTTGAAGGGCGGGCGGGAAAAGTTTACCCAGAGCGGTAACTGAGAGACAAAGCGCCTCTCCCAGGCCCCGCCCCCTCATTCTTGCGAATCGCAACAGACGCAGGCCCTTCCTCAGCCCAGCCAATCGGCTGCTTCGGCTGTGGGCCCGACGCAAAGGGCGGGGCGTCCGTTGCCAAAGAAGCCACAGGAGGTTACTAGCGCTGCTTTCGTCCCACTTGTACCAGGGCGGGCACCCTTCCACTGCAAGCAGTTCTAGGGATTCGCCTGCTTGCCACCTCGCGTCTTTTGGCTTCCTTTCTAGCTTTTACCTGCGGCACTGCCCCCTGCGACCCTCTCTCCCCTAGCCGACCCAGGGCCGGAGAGCACAGGTATATGGCAGTGGTTTCCACTAACGTTCGCTGAGGCGTCATCTTCGCGGCCCCTTTGGACCCCTTCTGTAGCCGAGCGGCATCGGGCTGACGTCACGGTGGCGTGCTGACGTAGCGGTCGGGGCGTAGGCACGCTTTTGGGAGGGGTAGGCTTAGGCTCCGACCGCTTCCTTGCGGTTACCGCGGACGCATTTTGGGGTTCTGAAGATAAGGGCTGTGGTGGGTCCCGGAAATGAAAGGCCTTCACGTCCACCCAGAGCTAAACCTCAGCCCCTTTCTTCCTGTACGTGCCACTTCCCCAGAGTTGACTGCCTGGCTTGGGGAAAAGGCCGCGAGGCTCGCCCTCCTAGGGAAGATGTGGTTCCCAGGACCCCAGGGTAGATCTTAATTGATGGGCTTTTCCAGAACGAAGTCCTTTTCTGGCCGGCATTTCCTTGTGAAACAGTTCTCTTACCCAATTGGCTTTTAAAGCGACCACCATATAATAAATACCCGATTGTGGTAGGCCCTGGGGCCCCTTTAGTGAAGAATACTATGGGAAGCCTCGGAAATTAAGTCCTCCAGGTTCCTTCTAGGTTTCGAGACTCTGTAGGAAACTCCTTCATGTGTGTGGCCTTGGACTGTCACTTAACTTTCCTGGCTTCAGTTTCCTTAACTGGAAAACGAGGGCAATAATAGTCACTTTGAGTGGTTGTAATAAAAGTGATTAAGTAAACCAGTGTCAGGTTTTGAGTACAGGTAGTAAGGGGTGCTTTTTTTTTTTTTTTTTTTTGAAGATTTTATTTATTTGACAGAGATGACAAGTAGGCAGAGAGGCAGGGGTTGGGGGTGGGGTGGGAGGGGAGGAGCAGGCTCCCCGCTGAGCAGAGAGCCCCATATGGGGCTCAATCCCAGGAGCCTGGGATCATGCCCTGAGCCAAAGGCAGAGGCTTTAACCCATTGAGCCACCCAGGTTCCTCAGAGGTGCATTTGATTGAGAAAACAATTACACACTGGGGCTGGTATTTAGGATGCCTATTTCAGAGACAAAGTTTCCCTGTCACCTCACCCATAGTAAGGTTTCAGGTGTTTTTTAATTAATGAGGTGTTTGGAGTAGTTTTAAACACTACTTGGTTAGTTAAAGGAACAAACTACAGAAAACCTGTTTTTGAAATTAGTTTGCTTTCGTTCTGCTTAGAATAAAAGTGTCATGGTCATGTTCCTAATTCTTCAACAGCTAGGTATCCATTTTCTGCTTCTCTTTCTTCTACCTTCATGGTTGATGGGTATAAATAATATGGTTTTTGTATCCAAAAAACCCAAAGGTATGAGAAAGTGGCTTTGTTTATATTGTACAGATGAATGAGACTCAAGGAGCTGAGTATAGCAGTGAAGTTGACATAACATCTATCCACTGAGGTCAATTCTTTTGGAAGTCAGTTGTTTTCCCTTGGGCTCTGGTTTAGTAGTCCTCAACTTATGACTTCTTTGATGATGATTTGTAATGATTCTGTAAAGAACAGATCTTGAAGGAATTGTTTTTAAAAGTTGGTTTTATATAGATAACTGAGGCCTGCAAATAATTTAAGGAATGGGGATTGACTCAGTATGGTTTGTTTTTTTTAAAAGATGAAAAAATTTAAAGAGAAGATCTGGTGGGAAAAGCAGTCCCAAAAACAAGTCAAAGGGGCCCTAAATTTTAAAAAAGCCATTCAAGCAAACAAAAAAAAAATCCCACCTGTAAGTGCTGCTTCATTCTGTTCAAACCTCCCCACAGCTTGGCTGGCAAAGGTTTCTCTCATGTAGAAGAGGCAACTAAGGCCCACTGTGCCTGAGAGGTGTCCATGTCAGGTGGTTCTAATGACCAAGAACGGGTGAGTCTGGCTCGGAATTTCATTTTAATATGCTGCCTCTGGGTCAACAAGGATTAGTTAAATTATTTTCAGGCTACCTGTACTCTGTTTGAGAAAGAAGAAATAATACTTTCAGGAGATTTTCTTCAAGCTCAGAAGTTACTTTTGTACTTAAAGGGATAAGCTGTCATTTTCTGGAACAGGTATGTGGAGCAGTCCATTCAGATGGTCCTGGATAAGTGAGGTGTTATATTTGGTCACTTTCTCTACTGATCTCTTGCTATTCTAATTCCTTCATTGCTTTTCAAGTTTGTTGTTGTTGTTGTTTTTTAATCACCGGTAGAAACAATTTTTGATTGCCTCAAAATTTTTTCTAGGAAAAGAATGCTGGAATTTCATCTCTCTGGGACTCGAATAACCAGTTTCACTGCTTCTACTCTTCTCCCCTCCATATGCACGGTCCAGTCTCCAAAATACCACTGAATTTATCCTTTAAAGATGCACTTTTGATCTGTTATTATCTTGCTTAAAATGATTTAATGGTCTGTCTTAACCTTTAGGGAAAAATTCAAACTTTTGAGCTTGGCATACAGTGACCACTTCCATGTGTCCAGTCTCGTCCTTTGCCGCTCGCCCTTACAAATCATGTCCCTTTGTGATTTCCTTCCTCTAGCTTGTACTTGACCCTCTACCTAGAATGCCTTTTTCTCTTCCTTTTTGTCACTCCCATTTGTTTTGCAGGACTCTACAAATTCTTTAGTAAACTTTGACTAGTGTGAAGAACAGTGAGAGAGATGAGCAGCATTCCTATATCTACTTTGTGTTCTTTGCTGAGTATTTCAGTGAATTTTTCAGGAGAAGCTGTGTGCTCTTGTTTGAAGCCAGTGGGAGCTCGTTTTCCAAGAATAAATGTTTGGCAAAACAAATTGAAATCTTGAGATTCTTATGCTTTTCTCTTCAGAGAGATTAGTTTTAAGTACATATTTGTCTGCAGCTGGTTCATTTACTTAGAGCAATCTAGATGCTAAGGAAGGGCCTGAACTGGGATCTTTCTTTTCTCTGACCATGGCCAGCATTACAGTCCCTGAACAGCCATCCCTCAAATGATTGTTGTTGGCCAAAATGGAACATACTTCAGTGAGTGTAGCTGGGTCAGCATAAACCATGACCATGCCTGGAAAATACTTTAAGTACATGCCGTTTTGATAGGGGACTGGTAAAGTCATCTCTGTATAGGAAATTTAATTCTTTAAACATTAAAATATGTTTAAATTGCCAATCTTTAGGGGTTTGGTTATTAAATATGTGTGCAGAATATGTGTCTTTGTTTCACCACCAAGTTGTACAGAAGTATATTTGTCAATTGGCAGTATATTCCATGTAATTGAAAACATTTTCTTGCAAAACATCTGCTTTTCTGTAGAAGAATACATTTGGCTCACTAAAATGATAGCATTTTTTATAAAGGTAGGACTTTTTATGCTAAAGAAAATTGTTGTTCAGCACACATATGTTTTTAGTTATAGTATTGTCACAATACACAAATGTGGAGTGCCTTTGAACCTCCGAACAATTTTTATCCTGGAAAATATTTCTAGATTATAAGAATATAATTGTTGATAATTCCTATGGATATATCTGAGACTTGACTTACATAGTTCTCTATGTTTTGAGGAGTCAGTAATAAAGATAACATTTCTGAATGTTGGGCTAAGAGTCATTCTAAGATCTCTGTTTTTACAATGCTTTAACTTGATTTGTTTACCCTTTAAGAAAAGACACAGTTACTTTTTACAGGTGATGAAGCAGAAAAATGTAGTATTTCATCTTGTGATAAAACTTTTAGAAAAATTGTGTAAATGGTTGCCAGTAGCCCCCAGAGCCAAGTAAGAACTCATTTAAAAATACTGATACCGAACTGACTGCCAATTGAAGATCCCTAATCCCCTTACATTTATTTTTGAACTTCTATTCAAAATATAGGAAACGTTTTTCTTTTAATGATTCCCCCAAAAGATAAATCAATGAAGTGAATAAGTAAAAAGCAGCTGCCTTTATTCATCACATTAACTGCTCTAAGCCTTGAGTCCTCTCCTTCAATTACTGCTTGGCTTTGATAAGGCTTGTAGCTGCTAAGGATTCAAACGTAAATAAGGTATTCTTTCTTTAGATTCCAGTGTGCAGAGCAACAAATTTTAAACAAGTGAATGAATGAAGGATAAATACCAGTTCCTCTGTGAGTGGGGTAACTATTGGAACCAAACGATAGTACTGTTGATTTCAGTGATTTATCTAGATGATATTCTTCTTCATTCTTAGGTTTGGTTTTACATTTGATTTTTTGTATCCATCTATTTTTAATTCTTCTTTAATTCCTTAAGACTTCAGATAGCTCAAAATATTGTTATGTCCTACTAACAGATGTTTCATACTTGCAACATTCAAGTAGATCATCTTAGATATCTGTAGGTTAGTTGGCAGTTCCATTTGTACATGAGTTGCTGGTATTTAAAAAATATTAACATGCTTCTCATTGGTCTGTATCCTAAATATTTGTTTCTGAAGTGTATAGAACCTTTAGACAAAAATAGATGTATTTTTACAGACACTTTCAAAGTGTCATTTAGAACTATAAGTAATTTTCAACCTCTAATTTCTTCACATCTAAAGTACTGAAAATTCCTGAACAAATGTATAATACAGGTTTATAAAAATAAATTACAGAGGTAAAATATCTCTGAAAAAAATGCAGAAGATATTAAATATAACATTTGATTTTGTATAAATGTAAGATGTATAAATATAAGTCAGGGAGACACAATATATTAGAGTTTTGAAAACACAGTCTTAATGATTGCTGAACTACTAATTCATTACTTAAAATGTAACAGTTCTGAAGAAATTCATTGAGTATTCCTGTAAAAAAAAATGATATCTCTAAGTTTGGGTGAAAACAGTTGGTTAGTAAAACTTAGAAGTATTTGTCATCTGCCTATTTGTTATCACCAAAAAATACCCTAGACTGAGCTGGGAAATAGGAATAAATCAATTTAATTTTGTAAATTTTGTAAACTTTCAAAATAGCTTAATCTTCTTGTAGCTATTGTTGCCAGATACTTTGAAAAATATATGAAATTTCTACTGTTCTAGGCATACATAACATACATTTCCTATTGGGTAGATATAATGAAACTGAGGACCGGAGTTAACCATAGTTTTTATATTTATTTTCTAGTATGACTGGATTAAGTTATTATAATACTTCAAGAAATAGATTAATAAAAATTTCTCCATTCTTGTGGTTATGTAGAAAATAACAAGCCTTTTGGAAACTGTGGAATTGGCAATTGTTGAATGGTTGTGCAATGGAATTTTGATAGTTTTTAAAGTAGTATCACAATGAGTAGCAGTTAAAATTTCTGTTTTGTCTATAAAATATTCTTTATACATGTTTAGGATTTTTATCTCATAGGTTAATGATAGAAAAAAGAACCTACTGAAATGATAAGTTTAATAACTAAAATATTTCTTAGCTTTCACCTTATGAGGAAAAGTTGTGGAAGCCACCTATAAATCTGTTTACCAAGTTTATGGAGAAACCTGCAATTGATAGAAGTCATTCAGAAGAATTATGTTCCCATTTTACAAGTACACCAGAGGATGAACATTTACCACAGGCTGCCAGTGAAAGTCATCACAGCTGGTATTCTCAATTATAGCAGGGGATATCTAATTTTCTGTTTTTAGCAATTTTCTGTTTTTAGCATTTCATATTTTGTCCGTACTATAAATTATTTGAATCAAATACAGCCTTCTTTCAATAATAACTTCTTCAAATCTAGCAATTCTTATGCTTATTTAACCTGATTACAAATCAGTACTCATTTAGCAGAATTGGTCTAGTTTTTTTGGAATCTTAATGAAAGCAAATAAAAATGAAAGCCTTAACTATTGCAAGTTATTAAAGTATTAAGCCTTATAGCTAAGGTGAATGAGAATAGAAATACTATGGAATTTTGGAAATGTAGTTGATGAGTACTAATTCACTGTCATTTGGAGTATTGCTATATAACAAATACCTGTCATATTTTGCTGTCTCCTTTAGAATAGGGAATACATGGGGATGCCTGAGTGGTTCAGTCAGTTGAGTGTTCAGCTCTTGTTTTCGGTCAGGTCATATGTCAGGGTCATAGGATTGAGCCCCACACTGGACTCCACACCAGTTGGGAGTCTGCTTGAGATTTTCTCCTTCCCTCTTCGTCTGCCCCTCCCCCCAAATAAATAAAATCTTAAAAAACATAGGGAATATTTATATGACTCATTGCTCACTGAGATGACAGTCTTTTTTTTTCTTTTAAGATTTTATTTATTTATTTGAGCGAGAGAGAGAACACAAGCACATCTGCTCCCCCAGGGAGCCTGATGCAGGGCTTGATTTCAGGACCCTGGGATTGTGACCTGAGCCAACAGCAGATGCTTAACCAGCTGAGCTACCCATGTGCCCCGCAAAATGACCATCTTAAAACCCCATTATTGTCACTGTTGATAGTGTAGTCCAGCTTCTATTTAACTTGTTGTAAATGACAGTGATATTTGGTCATATATAATCATTCTTGACTTTCTTCTGCCGATGGTTTTTAATAATGGACAACTGTCATTTACAGCCAACATCTTACAACCATCACATTAAGCCAGCAGTAATTAAGAACACAGTCTGCTTTCAGACATAGCCTCTAAGAGCCCATCAGTTGTTGACGAGCCATTATATTATGTTTTGTAAAGAAAGAAAAAAAACTGCCTATTGAAGAAAGATACAATGCTTTTTTTTTTTTTTAAGATTTTATTTATTTATTTGACAGAGAGGGACACAATGAGAGAGAGAGAGAACACAAGCAGGGAGAGTGGGAGAGGGAGAAGCAGACTTCCAGCCGAGCAGGGAGCCCGACTGGGGGCTCGATCCCAGGACCCTGTGATCATGACTCGAGCCGAAGACAGACGCTTAAGAACTGAACCACCCAGGCACCTGATACGATGCTTTCTTATGACTTGTTATTTTATTTATAAATATTGAAAAAGCTCCTTCAGACTTAATTATACATAGATTTTTACTTCAAATAACTCTATGCTTATATAAGAATAAAATATAAATGAAGTAAAGTAGGGTATTCTCAAAATTTTCTTATACTCAAAATCTGACTCTTCTGAGTCGCTTTTTGACTCAGAGTTGTCCTAGCTATTAAGAGTATTGGTGATGTGGCATTTCTTAGGAGCATCTCTAACTGAAATAAGATTTACTGGTGAGGGGCTCTTATAATATCCAGCAAGCCTATTTTGGAGTCTTGCTTCTGAAATGTTGCTAAACATTCCTACATCACCAGCGCCTTCAACCCCTCTATGACCCTCCATTCCTAAGGTTTAAAAAGGGCTACACCCCATCTCAGGTATTCTTGAAAGTATTGGACACCTTTAAAGTTCTGGGCATGTGCAAGAAAGAACTTACAATTGCTTCTTAACTAACAAAGATTATAAGAAGCATCCTGATTTCAGGATGTAAAAATGTGACCAAAGAGATGTCTCTTACAATGACACACAGTAGTGTCTAGGTAATCAAGAAGGCAAATATTAATAGTTTGTTTTGAATGATGATAATGTATTATAAAGCCAAGTGTGAAGGATTTTTGAGATCTCGAGAGCTTTAGTTTTTCGTGTTCTGTTTGTTTAGCTTATTTGTTCTTCTGGAGGAATTTCTTGTGAAGGACACGAAAGTTTCAAGAAAGCATTAGGGAATAAGGTCTAGAAAGACAAATCTTTTGGGTTTGGAGAAGGGAGAGGATAGGGAAGTAAAAAAGACATCAACATATTCCCACGAATCATTTTACAAACCAGAAAAGAGATGTTGAACAATTACAAGCAGCACAGTGAAGCATTGCTGTTGGTGGTTTTTGTGTGTTACATATCTAAATGTTAAAAAACTTTTTCTGTGTATATTAAGTATAGAAAAATAGGGGAGTATAGGAAAAATTTGATATATTTTTAGTGACAACTTACTGTTGTATTTTGGAGAGCAGTTTGTGTAACTGATACTTACACTGTGCTATATTTGCATGAAAGTATAACTACTTGATATGACAGATTTAACTTAAATTTTATTTGTATATGTATAATTAGTCTAAAGCAGGACATCCTAAATGAAAAGACTGACCTGGAAGCAACATTTAAGGAAGCGGAGTTGGCAACCTGTTCTGTAGAATTACTTTTGCCATTATTTAAGGATACCATTGAAGAGATTAGTTTTGAAAATGTGAGTATCTCACTTGTGAACATCTAATAAAATGTACAACAAGCATGATACTCGGGACTCATTAATTGCAGTTATATCTTAACATAGTTATGGACACATACTGGTTTTTGATATAAAAAATTGAAGGTGTATCCGTCTCCTATATCATTAACTGCAATTTTTTTCTTCAAAGGTAATCTCAGGCATGCACTTGATAAGAGGCTAAGCTGGAAAGCATATACCTTGGTGCTTGATTTATCTGAAGTTCAACTAGAGAGTCAACTATTTTAAGAGTGAATTTAATCTAAAATATTCTAAGATGAAATATATCTATTTTCTATAGTGTTGTATGGAATAGAAACTCGTATTCCAAAATTTCAGTGTACTAAAGTTTGAGTTAGAGATGAAAAATAAATTGTATTCTATTAGCTTCATTACAATAAATGCCTGAAGTACTTTAGGGCTTAAGCTCTTATTTTGATTTTATTAGTTTAATATATGATGTACTTTAATATACTATTAATAAACTTGGCAAAATCTACTCTTACCATATGCAAAAATGATTTTGTGGCTAGAATAAAGTATTCTTTGATACTTTACAGCAACATTGTATTTTAGGTGTTTCAATACTGTAATACTTAATACTTAAAATACAGCAACGCTGTATTTTAGGTGTCTTAATGTATCTTTAAAAAAATTTTTTTAATGCTGTATCTTAAAAAGTTATGTGGTTCTTACATTTTGTCAGGCTGATCTTTTTGCATCCAATTTGAAGAAGATCTCTAAACAGAAGGAAATATTAACAAAAGAATTAGACACTTTTAAACGTGTAAAACAAACTTTGGAACATCTTAGAAAGACAGAATACCAACAAGTAAGGACTCCTAAGCACTAATGTAATAGATGTATTTCTCACTTGAAGGATTTGCTATTTCTCAAACTGTAGAAATTGAATTATTGGTAAATTTGATATGGAAATAATTCTTGAATTTTTGTTTGAAATGGAAATCATTAAACTAACCCTTACTCTTAATGTGTCACAAATAGTTCTACATGAAAGCAGCATGTTTTTATAGGAAAAACACTTGTATTTTCTATCTCAAAATTTTTCATTATTTGTTATAGTTCATCTCATCTGGTTACAATAAAATTTTCTTAGAATTTAAGCTCCTTTGTACCATAGTATTCATACATTCATTAATCTTTGGTGGTTAACAGTTTGTTGAGAGATAATTCACATACCATACAATTCACCCATTTAAAGTGTACAATTCAGTGATTTTTAGTGTATTTGCAGAACTGTGCAGCAATCACCACAGTCAATGTTAGAGCATTTTCATCACCACAAAAAGAAACCCCATGGCCTTTAGAAGTTCGCCTACCACCCAACCCCACCCACCCCTCCTTACCCTATTATCTGCTTTTTGTTTTTATGAATTTGCTGATTCTGGATATTTCATGTAAATAGAGTCACATAAAATGTGGTTCTTCATAACCGCCTTTCATTTAACATAGTGCCTTCAAGGTTCATCCTTGTTGTAGCACACGTCAGTGCTTCATTCCTCTTTATTACCAATAATATTTCATTATATGGCTATTCCATTTCTCGCTTGTCCATTCCTCAGTTGACGGATATTTAGGTTGCTCCACTTTTGGGCTGTTATGCATAAAGCTGCTGTGAACATTTATTTACAAGTTGTTTATACCCAAGAGAAATGAAAATATATGTATGCCAAGCAATTCCACTGTGTCCCTCTACATAAGTCCAAGAGTAGGCTTCATGCAGTCCATGAGTCCTCCGAAATTGTGTGTGCAATTTTGCATTATATGTACATGGCATAAATGCTTTTGGGTGAAAAGAATTTATAGCTTTTTCACATTCTCAAGCAGGAGTATGACCCTCAAAATGAACAAACATTTTTCTGTGTTCTCATTTAAAATATCTACATAGAATTCCTTTACTAATGTGCTGTGATTCTTTAAAAAAAAAAATTCTTGGTTGACAGAATTAAGGTTGTTTATATTTTTTACTATTTATAAGCAGCCCAGTGAGCTTCCTTTGCATACAAGATTTTTGTGGGTTTTGTGTCATTGGCTTGTACTCTCTGAGGTGTTATTTAGAAATTAGTATATAATTTCATAAACCGTGGGCAAAAGATGATTTGGAACACTTGGGCAGAAATCCATATGATGACCTTTTTAAAAATCTGAACAGTGCGTAATAGTTGTCCATGTTAATTTCTTAAAAGATGCTTATTACTCTTTCTACTTTTATATGTAGAGAAATATGTTTGTTGATACTGATTTATAATATCTCTTTTTCATAGGTAGGGGACAGTTTATCCAGCATGTTAGAGAAACTAACTGATAATGAAAGTGAAAATACTGTAAGTCTTTTTATACTTCGTGTCTTTTCTGACATTTTTTACTTATATGCTGCTTGGTTTTATAAAATTAGCCAACATTATCCAAATTGTGATATTTCTTCTAACTCTTACATTATATTTACTGAAGACTCTTAAGAAGAAGGTACTTGAAAAGGAGACCTATATTCAAGAACTTTCTTGTTTGTTTCAGAATGAAAAGGTAAGCAAATTTTGAGCTTAATTCATTATATTTTCTTAATATTGACTCCTTCTTTTCCTTCTTTCCATCCTGGTCCCCATATCCTCAGAAATAAGCACAGAAGCATTTTTATATTATTTGGATATTTTACAAGCTTTTTGGAAATTTCTTTTTTAAAGATTTTTATGGTATTTAAGTTAGTGTAATTGGAATAAATCACCATATATTAGGAACTATGAATAAATTTGTATTTCAATTTTAGTGTAAATTAAGGAAGTTTAGTGTTTGCAGGAACATTTTAGATATAATTTACTTAGGCTAGATAGGACTTTTTAAAAGGAGATTCTTGGAGCCATTAAATAAAAGGGCAGAGGGGGACAGAGCCCTGTAGTTTTATATACAATTTATAATGGGGTCATAATTAATGTAAAATGGTACTTTACTTTTTGTCAACTTTTTAGGTCATATCTAAATGTGGATAAAGTTAAAGATTGTGGAGAAATATATCAAATAACACATTTTTTTGTTTTGTCTGTCACAGGCAAATGCTTTGAAAGCTAACCGTTTTTCACAATCAGTAAAAGTGGTACATGAACGACTACAGCTCCAAATTAATAAAAAGGAAGCAGAGAATGATAAATTAAAAGAACACATAAAGGTTATAAATATTCAGTCATTTTTATAGCTTAAGTGATAAAATTAATGAACAACTATAAAGCCCTTCCTTAATTCTGGAATTTGGTGGTTTTGGAAGAATTCAATTTAAGTGTTGCCATAAGAAATACATATTTGAGGCAGATCTTAAGATTTCTGGCCCTTCTAAAGATTTGGTTCTAAATCCCAAGATGGAAATGCTCTCTCTCTTTAATACCAGTCTAGGAGGAATTTATAGAGCTTGAATTACTTTAAAAATCTCTCCCATTATACAGTTAATTTATGTTTATTGTGGAAAATTTATAAAATACAAAGGAAAAATTTAAGATAATGTAAAAACACCAAAACCATTATTAATATTTTGGGATATAGTATTCCTGTCTATTTTCTACATCTACACATAAATACATACATTTAGTAGTCAGCCAGTAAATGTTTATTATTTTTATGTTTGTCACTAATGGTTAAAACTTTAAAATTAGTTACTTAGCTTTGATGTTTAGAAAAATGAGTAACATTCTTGTTGTGCAGTTTTTTTTAGCAGTGTCATTAAGGGGAATATTTTGGCTTAAACTCAGTGGTTTTAGTGTTCTTCTGGAAGCCTCACAGGCATTTTGAAATAACTTGAGGTCGCTATGACATGACACAAGCTAACTGGATCTATTGTCATTATTTTTGCCAAAAGAAAAGAAGCAGTGTTCTCGCTTGGAGAAGAGAAGTGTACAGTGATAACCCACACTGAGTGTGAGGACATCGGTGTTAAATTTCTGGTTGCTTTTGCACTCCTGAACCATGGCAGGTGTTTGCAACCTGTGGCATGTTTCAAGACTGCGCTTGGGGTGTTTTGGCTTTTTTTTTTTTTCTTCAAGGGTAAAAAGCTTTTGCCCAGTAAGGGGACATTAAGCAGACTTATGCAAAATTTAAATTTTGTCCTTTGTCCTCCTACATGTGCTTTTAAGCACTTGCCCCCAGGATTCCTTGTATCCTTTGCATGGGTGTCATAGGGTATTACAGATGAACATGTGAATTGACACCTGAGATAATCATCTGTCACAATTTATCTTTTTTTTTTTTTTAAAGATTCTATTTATTTATTTGACAGAGAGAGCGATCATCAGCAGGCAGAGAGGCTGGCAGAGAGAGAGGAGGAAGCAGGCTCCCTGCTGAGCAGCTATGCAGGGGCTCTATCCCAGGACCCTGGGACCATGACCTGAGCTGAAGGCAGAGGCTTTAACCTACTGAGCCACACAGGTGCCCCGTGTCACAATTTATCTTATACAGGTTTTAATTATGTCCTCAAATAGCAGTTAGGAAAATTTTGAAAACATTTTCTTCAATTTAAAAATGAAATACTAAGTGATTTTTTAAAGTTAATTTTAACAATTTTCATAGGATAATTTAGAGAATATAAGACTAAAATGTTAAGATTTTGCCATCACATTCTCCTAATACTATGAGTCTAAATTCCTGTACAAAACCCCTACTATTTAGAAATAATTACAAGAAGTTGCATTAGATTACTGATTTTTTTTTACCTTCCCTCTAACATGCAGTTTTGAAATTTAAGGCATTAAGTTATTGGGGGGGGTCAGAATTTAGTTCTTCGATTTAGGTTTCACCCTAAACCTTCGATTTAGGGTTCTTTTTGGATTACAAAGAAAATGAATTCAGTTTGACAACATAAATCTCACTTAATAGTTTTGACTCAGTTGAGTCAATTCGTTGTAATAGGTCTTTACAAAATTAATGTTTTAGTTCTCGGAGAAGTATCTTAAAGATACTTTAACCCATTTTTCTTTCTAGATCTTTATAATATAGCAGTTAGGAATAGAATATAGTCACAATTTAGAAGACACAGAATAATTATCTTTATAATATGCAGCATGTAGAGTTCCTTGGAAATAGGGAAAGGCAAATAGTTGACTTTAAAATATATGTCCATTCATTTGGCAAGACTGCGAAGAGTTAGTTATTTTGAAACCACAAAAATAATTTAATAGTTTTGTATACTCCCTAATAGTGCTCAAATGTGAGATAGGATAAATCTAGTGAGGAAGTCCTGACTATCTTGTTCTAAAAAATTTATTTCACCTTGGTGTTTAAAATGGTTTAGTGGGGGCACCTGGGTGGCTCAGTGGGTTAAAGCCTCTGCCTTCAGCTTAGGTCGTGATCCCAGGGTCCTGGGATCGAGCCCCGTATCGGGCTCTCTGCTCAGTGGGGAGCCTGCTTCCTCCTCTCTCTCTCTCTCTGCCTGCCTCTCCACCTACTTGTGATCTCTCTCTCTCTGTCAAATAAATAAAATCTTTAAAAAAAAAAAAAAAAATGGTTCAGTGAAGTGTAGCAGTTATTCATGGTGTGCTGGTGACACCCCGTGGTTTCCTGGAGGAATGGCAGCTATATTTCTTGTGGAGTCTGTTCTCTTAAGTAGACTTACAGGGCTCTTACTGTTTCTTGTTTCCCCTCAACTACTTATTAAAACATTTTATGGCATTTTTTAGTTTAAGTAGATTTCAAAAGACTGTTTAACAGTATTTTGCTGCTTGTCTTAATCTGCTAAGTTCACCTTTCAGAGAGCGCTTGTCTTTAAATCTTATTTAATATGTACTTCTTCATCTAAATTTTAGTGGAAGTTAAGAAGCATAGTTTTTTCGGGCACTTGGGTGGTTCAGATGGTTAAGCATCTGCCTTCAGTTCAGGTCATGATCTCCAGGTCCTGGGATGAGCCCCATGTTGGGCTCCCAATCCAGCAGGGAGCCTGCTTCTCCCTCACCCTCTGCCTTTCCCCCTGCTTGTGCTCTATCTCTTACTCTCTCTCAAATGAATAAATAAAATCTTTTAAAAAAAAAGAACATAGTTTTTATTGATCATGGAATTAAATAGAAAACTGAGTCTTTTACTGTGACTCCTTTGATTTTTTTTCATTAAAATGATTGTCCAGAAATTTTAAACTAAAACCTTAATTCTGTAATAATTTTTTCAGTATTATACAACTTTTACAAAAAAAATGTGAAATGTTAAAATCTTAGGTCTCTAAATTCTTAGCTATTTAGTAGTCAAATACTTTAAATACAGAGTCTTAAAAATAATTAGAAATAAAAGCATGAGAGTTACCACACTAAATCATATCCATCATCTGCCCGGCCTATTATTCTGTCTCTAGTTATGTAAGGAAACAGTCATGCCAGTTAACACCATCAAATTCAATGGATAGAAACACGGCCCTCAAACATCTTTTCACCCTTACTGTTATGGTTCTGATAGTTATTCATCTAAGCCTGTTCAGTCTTGGAATAGTAACTTCCATAAAGTTACTACTTATTGGGTAAAGCAGTATGTTTATTGCCCTTGGTGTAACTTTTAAGAATCAAGACGTGCCCCTTAATTCCAGTAAATTAACATTTGCAAAATAAGCCTATCTCATCTATATCGTTTGTGATCTGTAGATTCTGATCATATGTCCTTTAAGCCTTTATCACTGCAACTAAAGAGTCCTAACATATGTAGGGAGCTACTGATTCCTTTGACTTCTGTGTATTTTATTTTGAATTATCTCCAGCTCAATTATAGTTCTTTGATTTTCTTAACTAGTACCATGTATAATATTCTAGATGTGAAATTTTAACAAGTTCTAGTTAATTACAAAAATTTAAAGAAAGTTAAAGTTTAAAAAGAGTTTAAAAAAAGTTTAAAAAATGTTTGTATAGTAATTCTATAATGTTACAAATAAACTTTAGTGAAACCAACTTCTTTTACTGTTTTGCTTTTTATTAATCCTATGATTAATTCTTTTGATAAAATCTGTGGAAGATTATTTACATATTTTTACAATGTTGACATAAACATTGGAGTTTTAAAATAATTTAAGTACTACTAATATTTTTTTAGAGCTTGGAAACCAAGATAACTGAATGGAACTTACAAATGAGAAAGAATAAGCATGAAGCTGTAGCAATGAAAGAATCAAGTAAGCAAAAAACTATAGCTCTGAAAAAGGCATCTAAAATTTACAGACAAAGGCTTAAACACTTCACTGGAGACATGGAAAACCTTACCTCCCAAATTAGAGATCAGGTAAGTATATACATTCTTCCTTAACCATTCTATGTACTTAGTTTGTGTAGTTAGCATCCTAATGCTTAATATAATAATCTTCTCTTAATGCTACTGATACTAGGAAGACTTTATTCACACTCCTTTGCTTTAGTCTTTATTTTGAAAGGTTCCAGAAAATGTCACATTTGCATATTGAATTACATCAGTATTTCCTTGGGAACTTTATTAAAGGATATATTAAAAGTGTCCCAAAGCGGGGTGCCTTGGCTGCTCAGTGGGTTAAGCCTCTGCCTTTGGCTCAGGTCATGATCTCAGGGTCCTGGATCAAGCCCCGCATCGGGCTCTCTGCTCATCAGGAGCCTGCTTTCCCCTCTCTCTCTCTGCCTGCCTCTCTGCCTACTTGTGATCTCTGTCTGTCAAATAAATAAATAAAATCTTAAAAAAAAAAAAAAAGTGCCCCAAGCATCTCCGGCAAGCTAAGGGTACATACAAATTCCCCCTTGGAAATGGACAGTGTACATTAGCATATGAAAGACCCTGAGTAGGCAAAGTAAAACAGCGTAATGAAGAGTTTTGAACTCAGAGTTTCTCACCACTTATTTAACCACAGAACTCTTGTTTTACCCACAAAACAGCTCTTGGAACTGGTTCTAAGGAACACCAGTTTGGGAACTGCTGATTTATGTTATTAGACCATATGACTGTATTCAGTAATTCACTTCATTTGAACTCTGTAATGCACTTAAAGCCATTCACTGACGTAAACACACCATGTGAAAGTTATCTTTGGGTGTAGTACAAAGTTGAAAACTGGACTTAGTGCTTTGTTGTTTGTGATGAATTATTGTATTTATTCAATTAGCAGTTAATAAAATATTTACTCTTTTTAATGTCTCATGGGTATTCCACCTCTTAAGAACTGATGGTAAGGCTTGCAGAATTATTAGAGGCTTTTAGAAATGAAAGTGGGCTTGCATAAACTTTTGTGTAAACAAAACAACTTAATATTTTATAAGCTCAAGTATTAACACTTAAAGATGAACGACATTCAGAAGAATTTAACTGGACAAAGAATTGAAGACTAAGTTCATAATCTAGAAGGTCATTAGACTGAGTTGAATACCTGAAAATATTCTTGAGTGGTGAAAGTTAATCAAGTCATTAACATTCTCAGGATTTTCCTGTTTAAATAGCATTGTGTGACACATAACCCCAGATCATGGTATATGAAGGCTCTTCTGCTTGTTCATCTTGTGACTTTGGGTGAGGTACTTAACCTAAGACTCCTTTTCCTCATCTATAAAATAGGAGATAGTAATATTCCTATCTTATGATTATAGGGAGGAATAAATGAGAAAAAGTATGTTAAAGCACAGTCCCTGGCCATCCTACATTTTTGCCATATTGACCTCCTTTCTGTTCCTCTAATCTGTAGAGTTTTAATGTTTGCTATTACGTCTGGCTGTAATGCTCTCCTCGGGTTCACAATAGCTCGTTCCTTTTTAATCACTCAGGTATCTTTTTAATCAACATCTCTTCAGAGGAGCCTTTCTTGACCACTCCTTTTGAAGCAGTCCCTCAACAGTCATGTCATATCTTGAATTCTCTTCACAGCATTTATTTATTTATTTATTTATTTTTAAAGATTTTATTCATTTATTTGACAGACAGAGAGAGAAATCACAAGTAGGCAGAGATGCAGGCAGAGAGAGAGGAGGAAGCAGGCTCCCCGCTGAGCAGAGAGCCCGATGTGGGGCTCGATCCCAAGACCCTGGGACCACGACCCGAGCCGAAGGCAGAGGCCTCAACCCGCTGAGCCACCCAGGTGCCCCCACAGCATTTATTTTTATAGTTAAAATTTCTAAATATCTTTATATTATAGTATATTACCTAACCTACACTATACACACACACACACACACACACACACACACCCACCAACTTATATACTTCATTGTGCAAATTTAAATTCATTTTACATAAAATATGAAAACAGAATACTAGGCTTTATTCAACATATCAAGATTTTTGTAAAAAGGTATAAACCAAAAAATTCTTGCATATAGTATATGTTCAATAAATGCTTTTTCTGTGACTGGATGAATGATGGAAGGAAAGGAAGAAGCCCCCAGTAAATACTAACTGCTATCATATTATTACTTCTGGGTCTTCTGATTAATAATTATTGGTATGGTCTTCCCAGTGAGTTTGTCATTCTGTAGAATGTTAGGGGACACAATGACTATAGCTCACTAGGTGGGTTCGTAAAGAGTAGATTCATTTGACAGTTACTTATTGAATGTCTTCTGTATGCCAGGCACTATTCAAGGCCCTAGCAATGAACAAAACAGACAGAAGTCTCTACCTCGGGGAGCTCCCATTCAAAGTGGTTAAGCCACTACTACAGTTTTCCTTTTTTTGTTAACAATAACAGTGTTTGGGGACCAATGGGGGTGACCTCTACAAAACTGCTTGACATCATTATAGCAACAATAAATAAGGCTGCATTATTAAATGCTGTGGAATTGTGGAATTGCAGAGAGCTTCTATATGTATCAGTAGAGGACTTCTTTCTCCTCTGATGCTTATGTTGTTGTTAGCATCTTCTATATATAGAATGCGGAATGAAAAGTTCAAGAAATAGGAAGGAAGTTATCTTCATTAGTAATGAAACATGGTTTGAAAATAGTTATATCAACATCCTTAACATGTTGTGTTAGAACTGCCACTATGTGCATATAAAACAATACTAATATAAAGATATTATCAACATTTACTTTAAAAGATTCCTATATTCAGAGTTGTACACTAAAATTTTCCATATAAAAAACTCCATCCTTTATAGGATAATTGTTTCCTTGTTTATGTCGTATTTATGTTTAGAGCCCTGCACAAAACCAAAGTGTTACTCAGTTACAGGATGAGTACTTGATGTATTTTTTAGGAAGCCAAGCTGTCTGAAACAATTTCAGCTTCCAATGCCTGGAAAAGTCATTATGAGAAAATTGTAATAGAAAAAACTGAATTGGAAGTTCAGATTGAAACAATGCAAAAGTAAGAAAAAAATTAAGAATATTTTTATGGTTTAATAAGGAGTGTTTTCAGTTCCTTCCTCTTTAAGCAGTTTGCATTTTGGTTCTTCTGGGTTACATATGGTGAAGTTTGTCCATATGATTTGATATTTTTGCTATTTATAATGTTAAAAACTTTCCTTATTCTATTCTAAAAATACGATAAAATGATTACCCACTAAAAAGTGCATTGGTGGGGCGCCTGGGTGGATCAGTGGGTTAAGCCGCTGCCTTCGGCTCAGGTCGTGGTCTCTGGGTCCTGGGATCGAGCCCCGCATCGGGCTCTCTGCTCGGCGGGGAGCCTGCTTCCCCCTCTCTCTCTGCCTGCTGCTCTGCCTACTTGTGATCTCTCTCTCTCTCTGTGTCAAATAAATAAATAAAATATTTAAAAAAAAAAGTGCATTGGTGTTCACATTTTGAACTTTGTAGGTTGGTATTTGGAATTGGGTATGTGTCATCTATTATTTGCAGTTAAATGTTAACACTAGTTTATCTTAAAATGGAAATGATAGTTCTCTACCAAACAAGAATATGTAAGTAAGAATATATAACAGAGCTTAAAATAAAAGCACAAATGCTTTCAAAATCCTAAAAATTATTTTTCCTTAAACATAACAAAGAAATTCAATGAGTAAACCTCCTTCTATCTTTTATGCTTTTTTAATTTTTTATTTATTAATATTTATTAAAATTTATTAAAATTAATAAATTTTATTTATTACTGATAAACTAACAGTAATGAACCCTGCACATTTATTTTTAAATGTTTTGTTTTCTGTATATTCTCTTCAGTTTTATCATTGTAAACTAGCATGTATCATTCGCTTCTAAAGGTGAGTTATTGCCTCACTTGATCCTTTTATATAACCGTGGCCCTAAGATTGTGTAGATGTATGTGCACGTGTGTGAATGAGAGACAGATGGCCACTGAGGATAATAGTTCAAACATTTTACTGAATAGCAAAGAGAATGTTGTGTAATTTTTCACTGGTATCATCAGTGGGAAGTTATTGCTACTCAAGGTTATGCAGTTAGTAGCCTGATAGATAACTGCTTCCTGTTTACCTTTTTCTGTGACTTGTACTTTAAAACTGCACATCCTACCAACATAATTTCAGAAACATACTTAAAAAGCACTATTTGAATGAAAATTTCTATGACTTTTATATAAAATATATCATTTATCTCATAAAGACAAGTTACAAATCTTTTGGAAGACCTGAAGGAAGTGGAAAACCTTGGAAAAAATTCATGTGAAGAAATTCTTAGAAAACTTCACTCAATTGAATATGAAAATGAAACTCTGAATCTTGAGAATACAAAATTAAAGGTAATGTGTGTTCTGGGGCGATGGCTGGGTCAGTTAGTGGAGCATACAGCTCTTGATCTCAGGGCTGTGAGTTTGAGCTCCACATTGGGTGTAGAGATTACTTAAAAATAAAATCATTTTTTATAATAAGGTAATATGTGTTCGTGTCTGTATGTGTATATATTGTCTAATGATAGCTTAGTAGAAGTAGCTGGAATGGTAGCATGATTAGAGTAGTACTCTTGTGTCTTTGTTTTTTGTGTTTGTGAGGGTATTAGAGGATCATTATAATATGCAATTTGTAAAGCTACATATATATCCATATTTATCTATATATACACATACACATATTTATATATAGATCTTTAAGTATTTATAGTTGTACACAAAGATATATGTTAAAGTTGTTTTTAGCAATATTAAATAATAAGATTTATAGCTTGAATAACTGTCTTGACTTCTAAAAAATTTATTTGTTCTTTTTAGCTGTTGAGTCATTCAAAATTACATTAACTTTAATGCGTAAGATTTTTTTTTCTACGTGTCATGGTTACGATAGGATGTAACCTCAGGCCTGTTCTGTTTGAAACCAGAAAGTATGTTCCTGGCTGCTTCATAACCAGAAATAATTTTCCAACTTAATCAAATCCAAGGGGTGATTGGTTTGTATGTGTACCAGAGAAAAAAATGGGGAAGAAGTTTTTATACTTTCTGAGGAAAAAAATTGAGTTCTCAGTTAGAGATACAAGTAACCAGATGAGACTTGATTAAAGATTACTGCATGGGGTGCCTGGGTGGCTCAGTCCGTTAGGCATCTGCCTTCAGCTCAGGTCATGATCCCAGGGTCCTGGGATGGTGCCTCACATCAGGCTCCCTGCTCAGCAGGGAAGTCTGCTTCTCCTTCTCACTCTCCCTCTATACTCTCCCTCTCTCTTTCTCTCTCAAATAAATAAATAAAATCTTAAAAAAAAAAGATGTTGCATCATTTTCAGTTCTTTAATACTATTTTTGGAGGACAGTAAATAGAACACAGAAAAGAATCTGTGTAAAAAGGCCAGAGTTGGCAGTTCAAAGCAGATAACACATCAGAGAACCAACCCTCTTTTTAGCTCTCTCTTCTGCCATTCCTAGGTTATGACCCTCATAATCCAAAATGATTGCTGGAACTCCAGCCATTATAGCCAAATTTCAAGCAGTAGGATTGCAAGGGGAAAAAGACGAGTTATTACTCACCCTGCCCTTTTTTTTTTTTTAAATCTCCTCTTAGGGAAACTTACTGTAAGTTCCATACCTCTCTACTCTTCTACTTATTCAGGCACATGGCCCCAACTAGGTATAAGGAAGACTAGGGAGTGTAGTCTTCTAGTTATCCTGGGTTCTAGCCAAATATGAATACTCATTATTTCCTGCAGTTTATTCACGTTTTCCTATATCTCTTCCTATAGTTTCACTATATTTACAATTTGGAATCATCTTTCCTAGTACCTAAGACCTGCCTTAGTTCAGCTCAAGTGCTTCTTCCCCCCAGTCTTTTCAATTAGGATGAGTCTCTCCTTATAAACTCCCATCTTTGTATGCCCAGAATGCCCAGGAAAGGTGTCACATACACTTAGCTCTCCATGAATATTTATTGAATGAATGCTTAAAATGTTTATCTTGGAAGAGGAAGCGATTTTGTTATGTTTATTTTCTTAATTTCCTTGATAACCTTCAGAGAGAAAGGATTAGAATAATATTTCATCAATTATAAATCTAATTTTTAGTCAAATGGTAAGTGGAATTAATTTTAAATTACATAGGGATAAGAATCATCAAGTTAAAGTTTACATCTTATTTTCTATTAATAATTCAGAAACATGTATTTTTAATGCATTCTTTTGATTTTTGTTTAAGGAAAAAACCTAGGTGCATCTGGCATATGTTTCTGCAATGTAAAATTGCCTAGATATTGTATTTTGTTACTTTTAATGACTTCAGAATAATTTTAGATTTTAATATTTCAAATGAAAAAAGGATCTAGCTGATATTCCTTCCAAGACCCAGTGACCTCTACTCTTGAAATTGCAAGAGGTTATTTGCATGGTTATAAGTTCTATTTGTTCATTATAAAGAGTTAAAAAAAAAAAAAACAGAAAAGAGTAAAGGGAAAATTTTAAAAATCACTGTAATCTCACAACTCAAAGAAACTAAAGTTGCCATTTTACCATATAGTCTTGAGGATTTTGAACTAGTTCTAGTTTTTTTTTGCTACTATAAATAAAAATGTGGGTAGTTTCTTTGATTTTTTTGCCTGTTTTCTTAGGATAAATTTCTAGGATTGTAATTATATGGTCAAAAGGGAGGCTCATTTTTAGTGTTACGTATTTCCAAATTACCCATCATATGGGTCCCTATATTTTTTCCAATGCAAGACAATTTTAAAACTAATCTCTCCAAATTTGATAGGTGATCTCATCTAGTGTTGGGCCTTTAAGTACCATCTATATCTTGGGGCTCTCCAATTTATATCTCTTGCCTAGACTTTGCCCCTGAATTCCAGACATACCTTCTACGGCCTACTTGAAACCTCTGCTCGGATATTTAATAGGTGTCTCAAAGTTAGCATGTCTAAAATAGAGCTCCTTTATTCCCCCAAATGGTTCATCCTACGGTTAGCCTCATCTCTGTTAATGGCAATATTATCTGTCCTTTGACCTGGTTTTATCCCTGACTCCTTTCTCTCCCACCTGCTTCCAGTCTGTCAGCAGATCTACTTCACATAGATGAGGATTTGACCACCTCTCCCCAGCACCACTGCTGTTGTCCTGGTTGAAGTCACCATCATCTCTCATAGTTACGGTGACTTCCTGAGCCCCCTTTGCATCTGCCCTTGCCGCTATAGTCAGCTTTCAGTTCACCATAGCATAGTTCTCATAAAAATGAAAGTCAGACCATGTCACTATTCCACCCCAAGCCCTCCAGTGATATCTAGATAATAAACACCTACAAAACATTATTCCAACTGGCTTTCCAGTACTTCTCCCACTTCATCTCCTTCCATTCTCCCCATTGTTTTCTCCCTTCCTGGCTCACTGGCCTTGTTCTTTTCCCCCTAACTGGCCAGGGCTTGTCCCACAGTTGCCTTTCTCTGTGGGAATTCTCTTCCCTCAAAGGGCCACACATCCTTTCAGTGTTTGCTCTAAAGTCCCTTTCTCCGGACGCCTCCCTGGCCCATCCACAACATGTCATTCCTATTCTGCTTTTGTGTATGGTATATTTTACTTCATATTCTTGGTTTTTGTTCATCTATTCCCTTTTTGTCTGTCTGTATGTGAAGTACATAAGCCCCATGAAGGAAGGGATTTTTTTTTCATTCTTTTGTTCATTAATAGAAGAATATCCAGTGTCTAGAGCATTTTTTAATAACTAGTAAACATATTTTTCATGTATTTATTGATCATGTACATTTCTGCCTTTATGAATTACCTATTCATTATTCTTTGTATGTCTTTTTTTAAATATATATAAGAACCCTGTATTAAGGGTATTAATGTTTTGTCATAATTTGTTACTCTCTTTTACATTTTGTTTGCCTCTTAAATTTTTTGAGAGGGCAGTGAAATTTGGAGAGATATATTTACACATATGTATGGATACTTTTTTTCTTTAACAGCTTCTGTTAAGTCTGTCACATTTCTGCACATCTTAGAAGTAGAAGCACTGACTGCCTGCAATCCAGACTGTCTTTTCAAGGATGTATAGTGAGCATCCTTGGAAGACACCCATGTTTTCTTACCAGAGGGTAGACATGCTTACTGCTTGTTATGAGAGATCTGGGTTCCCTGAACTCAGGGTTGCTCCTCTGCTAGTGCTTCCCACTGCATTTGCAGGTGTCATCTGGCCCTCATTGTGTCACCCTGGGGGACTCGGGGCTTGGGAGATTAATGCAAATCTGACATCTGGCTACTACTCTTGCTGTAATCAAGTTTTGTGTCTCTGACCCAGGGGTCTCATATCTTCTGCTAACATGCATGAAACTGTTCCAGGCTCACTTGTCAGCTTGGAGGGTAAAATCCCAAACCCTTACAGTACTTGACATCATCTTTTGATTTTCCACTTAGTTTTGCTATCCTAAAATCAAAATTTTAGCTGTATTTTAGCTGTATCTTCTGTGAAAAATGTTAAAACTTTATTTTTAAAATACAAATAAATATAAAAAATAATGTTGGGTGGAGGCAAGTAGTTCATCTATTTTCTTTCTAATAGTTAAACAGGTGTCTTGTTACCATTATTTAGTGATCCATATTTTCCTCATTGATTTAAAAATTCAATCTTTAGCATACACTAAATATAACTTTAGTGTATTTTTCTGTTTCTGTTCCATTGACCTCTATATTCTTATGTTGGTATCTTAAAATTTTTAGTTCTTCATACATCTTTATCTAATAAGTACTGAGATTCTCTACCTTAATATTCCTTTCAGTATTATATTAGTATTTCCCATTTATTTTTCCATATGAGTTTTAAAATTAATTTTGTCATATTCCTCCTCCTCCCAACTGTTATACTTCTGGTTGAAATTACATTTAAAGTGTTATCCATTTGGAAAAAACTGATATGTCAAATAGTATGAGTCTTCTCATCTGAGAACATGGTCTTTTAAAAGTTTTGGAAATTTTAAAAATATATGTCTTACATAAGTCTTATTATAGTTATCCATGAGTATTATTGACTTGAAAATTCTTACATTTAAGTGGTAATTCTATGCAATAAAAATGATTATTAACCTTTTGATAAATGAGTTATGTTTTTATAATCCTAGCACTGGAAGCTAGGTGAATTCTAATGATTTATAAAATCTGTTTATTTTTTTTCTTGCTAGACTACACTTGAGGCTTTGAAGGATGAGGTGATTTCTGTTGAAAATGAACTTTCAGAATTGCAAGAAGTAGAAAAACAACAGAAAACCCTTACTGAAGTATATAAAACTCAGGTAACTATTGCACTGATTTTGTTGTTAGATTTTGTAGGCAATTTAAAACACAGTACTTTTTTATAATCTAAAGAAGCAGAATTGAAGAAAGGTAGAGCTATTATTTTATGATAGAACATATGTCCCATATTTCTTAAGGTCCCACATATTTTTATAGTAGATGATTCTGCTGATTCTTGATTCAGGCCTTGACTGTGTATGTATTGGCTATTCCAAAAAGTAGATATAAAGTTAATTATGTAGGTGTAATGTAAATCTTATGTATAATCTTGTTAAACTTAATTATAGTGTCATTTTAGATATTTAATGGCATTGATTTAGAATATTGACTCCCTTTTAGGGTCATTAAAACTCAGTACTCCCTCTTTCCCAATAAATAAAATAAAATTCTGATTTACTCACATGAAAGACTTGGATAAGAATTGTGAAAATATATGTGGAATAGAGCTATGTTCAGTGGCAGTTTATAGAAAACCTTATATTTTGAAAATGTAGTATTCAAGGAAAACTTTATGAGAAAGTTGGGACTTATGCAGGTCCTTAATGATGGTACCAAATTGATCAATAATGAGCTGGGTTTTGCTGGAAGAGAGAGCATTTGAATTAAAGAATAAATAACTAAAGGTAAAAGCTTAAGGGGAGGGCATCCTGTAGATCAGTAGGAAGTTCATCTGGATGGTTTAGATGGGAGGATGGAGTCAAAACATCCAGTTAGAATCCTGCAGTCATGCAGAGCTTACCAGAGGTAGGATGGAGGTATGGTGGACTGTGAGCCTGTTACTGAGAATGCCAGCTGGGTCCTTCAGCTGGGTGTTTGAGTTTAATCCGTCAGCAAGAATAATGTGCATGTTCTGGGCTCTGGGCTTTGTATAAAGGCCTCAGAATTTTTTTTTTTTTTTTTTAAGCATTGTTTAAGTGTAAAGTAATTGGTTTGGGAGCCAGTTTATTTATATATATGTGTGTATATATATATACATTTGTTGTTGTTATTGTAATAATTCTGACTTTTCCTAAATCTGCATGTGGACATACATGTCAGCATATTTCAGTTACTCCTTAGTCTTCAGATTTCTTTTTAAAAATTATTCTTTAAAGTGACCTTGACTTGCAAATAAAGATCTTTAATATTCAGGCTTAAGGGGAGAGTCTAGAAATATGGTTGGGAAAAGACAGGTAAATTATAAAAGGGTTGTAGATTGGAGTAGAACATTGAGCAATTCTTATATTAAAGTAGGAATAACATTAGATAAAGATACTGAGGGTGTTGATAAGGAAATAATGATTTGTTTAAAAATTCAGATGTTTAGTTTTTTAATTTATATTATGGTCTTAATTAAATATGTTGTCCTAATATATTTTATTTTCAGATACAAAAATTACAAGAGGCAGCAGAAATCGTGAAAACCAGATGTGAAAATTTGCTACATGAAAATAACCTAATTACAAAAAACAAAAATAAAAAATTAGAGAAGGTGAGTTTGATGTTTTAAGAAATAAAATAATATTTATATATTTTGTACTTTATGAATATTATACGTATTCTTTCATTATGGTCATTTTCTGTAGTTTTGATCTAGAAATTACCTGTCTTTAATCTCTGTAGGAGTTTGTTTTCTCTGGAGATAATGTTTCCTCCAGGCTTGAAATGTTTGTTTGTGTGAATGTTTTTCTACTTTTTCCTTAGTATTTGGAAAATAGCATGAATGTTTAATTTTTCTAAGAGCAGATTCATATATCTCAAAAAAATGGTTATCACTTATCACTGGCTTCATCAGCCATAAGTATGCAAACTTGAATATCTCTCATTTTTAATCCTACCTTTTTGTTTTTGGTACTAAATCTTTTGTGTCTAAAAAGTAAAGTAAATATTCGCTGTTAAATGCTTTTTGGAAGAAAAATCGTATTTAAAAAAGCAGCATCATTTCCCTTTTATCACCCCATTGCAACAGAATGAGGGGAAAGCCAGTGTTGGCAAGTTATTATGTTTTTGTGAATATTTTTAACTTTTTAAATGAAACCGCATCCCTCTTTGGGTCTTCTCATGTTGTTTTGGTAAGGAAGTAGTGAAAGTCGTAGGGCACTGACTCCCGGCTGGAGAGGTCATGGGATGTTAGCAGTCACTTCCAACTGAGTGTAATAAGGTGACTGTCTCTGGGTTGCCCCCACATTTTGGGATTGAGAAGTCTGAGTGAGGCCCAATGTGAAGAAGAGGTCAGCCAGAGCAGGCATTCTGCTGGTTAAACAGAGATAAAGATAGCCCACCAAACATGCAAGTTACTACTTTCTTAGAATTACTTTTTATTTTTAGCAGCATGTCTAGCATTTTATGTGTCCTGGTCGCTCTCTCTCTCTCTCATAAGACATGGCACCGCAAAGCTGTCCTCTTTTGCTAGGCAGCACTGTAAATAAAACACCTTATTTACATCAGCCTATTCAGGAGGCTGATGGGGCAGAAGCCTGTGATTTTCAGATGCCGTGAGTCACAATGTCTTCTAACTGTTATTAAACCAGAAAAGTCATTTTTTAAGATGAAATTTTTCCTTTTCCTTTTCCACTGGTTTCCTCATGGGCTCTTAGATATTTGGGGACCCAGAGGTAAGCTTTGTTCTCATTTTATCTTGTGATCAAGAATGCCAGATGTGCTCAGTAGCTCTAGGTGTTCCCTGTCTCAGGGAAAGACTCTGGCTCTTGTGTTTTTCTTCCTGTAAACATCCTACATGCCATATGTCTGGTTTTTTTGTTTTGTTTTGTTTTGTTTTTTTTTAATTAACCATGTAAGCATTTCTTAGAGGTGCTTCTTGTCACATCTCCACAAAAGTGCCACGGTGAGGCGCTGCAATGGCCAAAGGGGTGAATGTAGGTATATTTAGAGACTTGCTCAGAATAATTTTAATGATGAAATGACAGTCTGCTGAAGACTGATGATATGAGCTATCTTGACATAATACACCATAATCCCACCAGCTGGACTAAGATGAGTGCAGCAAGGCTGTTTTAATTGAAATATCTGAGTTACGAGATTGAATGACAAAGTGACAGTTACTTTAGCCTCACTGGCTGGATGGTGGCAAATGACCGTACCAGCGTTACTAGTTATGACTATGCTTGAAGATAAATGACAGGAATCAAAAAGTTTGCTTTCCTAAGTAGGTTAAACATTCTCCATGTAGGCTAATATAACTGTATGCGTTGAGTCAACAGACTTCTTTTTAAGACTATTTAAAAACTTCGAATTCTAATGTAAGTAACATACAGTGTTATATTAGTTACTCAACAAACTTTTTGAAAACCAAAGTACAGCCCACTTTTGAGGTACGGGTTCTCGTTAGCCGAGTCTAACTTATTGATTATTCATATTTATTTGGTTGAATCTTTTTGTTTCAAACCATTATGCCTAAAATACTTATTATATTATGAGCATATCTAGTGTTTAAGATAGTAAAAACATTAATGCTGAATGTGTGACCTTGCACTTGTTTCCTTAATGCTACAACTCAGATGAGAGGCCAGATGGAGTCTCATCTGCAGGAGTTAGAGCGCGTCCGCGACTCGTTGACGGCGGCGGAACAGAGGCTTCACGAGTGTCAGGAGAGTCTGCAGCACTGCAAGGGGAAATGTGCAGACCAGGCGCACACCGTTAGGGAGCTGCAGGGTCAGGTGTCCGGCCAGCATTCTGCTTTCTGCTAGATAGGTTCAAGGAAACTTCAGAATGATTTCACCAATTGAGGGCTCTCCTGTGGGGGGTTGATTTTTTTTTTTTTTTAACTCCCACCTCTGTCGATTTATCAGTTTATTGCAGATACTGTAATATTCTGCAAGCTGTTCTTTTAGTATTGTGAAAAATTGTTAACTAAAATTGCTCATTTTAGTTTATTCGTACAAATCTACATTTAGATGTCTGAGAACATGGTAATGGAGCAATGCTGTGTTTACATACATATTTTTTGACATCAGGTTAAGCTAACTTATTCTAAATTACCTGACAAAAATTACAATTCATTTTAATTAGAATTGTGCATCAAGCTCATTTGGATTATTCTCAGTTTTTTTTTTTTTTTTTTTGCCAACATATACTTCTGTACTCCATCAGAACAAAGATCATGGGTGCCCAGTTAGTCACCACTTAGCCACCTCCTAATTCAATGCTTAGCACAGAGTAAGTGCTTAATAAATATTTCTTTAGTTATTTTTTTCAAAGATGCATGTGCAAGGAGGTAGCAAGTGTTTTTATTTGTGAAACAATTTTTAGGAACAATTCCCTATATTCCAAATGTAATCTGGATTTTAATTTTGAAATGCATCCTGTTTTTAAAAAGCATGCAAACAAAATTTTGCTAAATTTAAATTTCTGAGAAGAGATTTTTCTAGGAAAATGCCAAATCTGCATAGATAACCTAAATTATTAATTAAATTATGAGAAAAATTTTATTTTCCAAGCTTCTTAAAATAACTATAGCTTTTGAAGCAATAGGAAGAATATTCTGTCTTAGTATCCACAAATTTTCTGTGGTTGATTTGCTTGTTTTATTTTGTTTCTCACAAATATGATTTTTACTTGTAGTTACAACTTCAGAGTAAATTATCAATCACTATCTTTAGGTAAAACAAGAAATTGTAAGAGTACCTAAATATCCAACAATAGGAGATTCGTACTGTTTGGTCTTCAAATTTACTTAATAAAATAAACGTCCTTTTTCAAGAAATCATTTTTCAGAATGTATTAATTGCCATCGTTCAGAAAGAATTTTAGTAGATGATTTTTCATGAGGCACTAAACAGGAATTCAAGAGCTTGTGTTTTAACAATGTAGTGTTTCTTTGTATCTCTCTGTGTAGGAATATTAATAATACTGATGTTTTCTTGTTTTTTGTGCTTATTCTAACGATAAAGTATATAGATTTCTTTGGAAGTTGGTTAGAAGAAAATAACCAAGAAAACTTTATTTTTCCCCTTTTAGGTTGATGCAAATCATAATCTTCTGAGAAATCTTTCTCTGGAAGAGAAAAATTATCTTATTCAGTTGAAGTGTGAAAACCTTAAACAGTAAGTATTAAATTGACTTAAAATTGGTGTTACATTTTTCTCTATGCACTATAATTTTAAAATATATGTTTTCTGTAAAAAAGAAAATTAGAACAGATGGATGTGGAAAATAAAGAGCTTGAAAAGAAGCTGGCAAACCAAGAAGAATGTCTTAAGCATAGCAATCTTAAGTTTAAAGAGAAATCTGCGGAATATACAGCATTGGCCAGACAGCTGGAAGCTGCTTTAGAAGAAGGAAGACAAAAGGTACAGATGGCCTTTATTTAGAAACTTTTTAATTAGTTTACCCAAGAGTCGTTCTTTTAAACAGACAATATCTCATCTTACCAAACCTACAGTTATTGTTTTTATCCTGATGACAGGGTAGCTGTGTTACTGGTGCAGTTACTTCAGTAAGTAAATGATGGTGTGGCAGGGTAGAGGCAGATGGAAAACATAGAAGGAGCTCCCCTGCATCCTCTTTCTTTTTTTTTTTTTTTTTTTTTTTGTTTGTTTTTTTACATAAAACCAAAGCAGTTGTTCAAATTGTTGAGCATTTTGGTTTTGATCAGGATCTGATGAGCCGTAGAGCTCAACTCCCTTTTCTTTTGGCCAATATTGTTACATTAAGTACGTGTAAGAATTAAATTTCCAGTTAAATCCATTTGGTTAACATTTAATAAACATCTCACTGTGTGTCAGCCACTCCACTACTATTTGAGATGAAAAGACAAATAAAACCTTGTTAGTTTACAAGCTCCTTGGCAGTTTCCCTGGTGTTATGGGAAACCTGTGTACAGAGGACATGGGGAGACCGTAGAAAGAGGCAAACCACTCCAGGTTGGAAGGTGACAGGTTTGATAAGTGAGGGAACACAAGAGTTTTCTTGGATGGCCACAAGATGACTAGATTTCCACACCTGACAGAATCTTAAAAGTCTATATAGAGGGCCTTAACTAGGTTCAGTCACATACCCAGTCCAAATAGCCTCAACATCACATTCCTTTCTCAAGGCTCTTTACTTGGAGTGGCTTCTGGGAGCAGGGCAGGAAAGCAGAACAGGTATCTAAAGCATAAGGGAGAGAGTGGGGAGCTTATAATTGCCCAGGTTCAGCTCGTGTGTCACATGGAGGGCACATCTTTTTTTTTTTTTTTTAAAGATTTGATTTATTTATTTAATAGAAAGAGATCACAAGTGGGCAGAGAGGCAGGCAGAGAGAGAGGAGGAAGCAGGCTCCCCACTGAGCAGAGAGCCCGATGCAGTGCTTGATCCCAGGACCTTGGGATCATGACCTGAGCCAAAGGCAGAGGCTTTAACCCATTGAGCCACCTAGGCGCCCCAAGTCACATCTTTTTGATAACCTCCTCCAACAGACCTGGCCTCAACTCTCAGGACACTCATAGTCCAGGGGAAAGATAGTATATAAACAGACAAGTGTCATCCATCATTTGTCGGTGCTACAACAGAGGGAGGTACAAGGTACACCAAAAGACATTGTTAGTTTATTTTCAGGGGTGGTGGTTGGAAATAATGCAGGAGGGTCTTAATAGGTAAATTTATCAAATGACTTGAAAATGTAGTCTTGAAAGGACTTCAGGTGGACTTTGGAGTCCAGCTAGAACTGGATTTGAATTCTGGCTCTAACACATTACACCCTGACCCAGAGTTAATCACTTCTTGAAATTCTAGTTTCTTTCTTTCTTTTTTTTTTTTTTTTTAAGATTTTATTTATTTGTCAGAGAGAGAGGGAGAGAGAGCAAGCGCAGGCAGACAGAATGGCAGGCAGAGGCAGAGGGAGAAGCAGGCTCCCCGCCAAGCAAGGAGCCCGATGCGAGACTCGATCCCAGGACGCTGGGATCATGACCCGAGCCGAAGGCAGCTGCTCAACCAACTGAGCCACCCAGGCGTCCCGAAATTCTAGTTTCTTAATTAGTGAAATGGGGATGATGAGTTTCCTCCTCAGATTGAATGACGCTAAAAAGAGATTGTCTATTCCATGATGACTCTCAGATGTATATCTCCACCCCCAGATTTCTGTCTCTCCTGAAAACTAGAGTCAGATATTATGCTGCTTACGTGACATCTCAAACTTAACATGTCCAATACTAAATTGTCTTTCCCTCTAAACTCTCTTCCACCCACATCTTTCTCAAGTTTGTTAATGGCAATTCCATGTAAGTTAGATAAAATCTGTTATCACTGAAGTGTGGCTCTTACATCACAAGTGCTATATACATACATATATACACATATATATGTATGTGTGTGTGTGTGTGTGTGTATGTATGTATGTATTTTTATAACTCTGGGAAACTAATTTAGATTTATTTTGAAAGATACATCCTTGGATAAAAGCTAGGTTGTAAAATGTATTGCCGATGATAGAAATGTAATCCAGATTTCTCAGCCCCATCAACCTTTGGGAGGAAAATAAAAGACTTTCTCCTAGAAATGCTAGGTGTCTAAGATTCCTTCTGAGAAGTGTTCAGAGTCCCCAGCGATGTGTCTGCCTTTTTTCTCTCCTGCTGCACCAGAATGTGAGGCTGTCTGTCTCTAGTTCCTGCCAGGTGAGGAGTGCCGTCACTGCCTTGTCACTATTGTCCAAACTGAGGACGTTGTCAAAGGCTCTTTCTCCTATAGCTTCAGATCCTGCTAGCATCCCTCATACTGCTGCCCTTGGAATTGGTGCAAAGAAATCTTTGTAAATTACTTTATAATAACTTAGAACTGGGTTTTCAGGAGCATGATTAGAGGACAGTCCTTCTCACTAGCTCCTTGCTCCTTAACTAGTCCTTGTCTCAGCTCTTACTCTTGTGGCTCCAACCCAGCATTCTTGCAAATAGGCTACCACATAGTTGAATCGTTGGATGAACATAGCTAAGCTAGCTTTCTGCTAAAATAAGCAATCTTAGAAATAAGAGAACTCAAATTCAGAGCACTCTGCAAGTGAATGAATGAAAAACCAGTCTCTTGTTGTATATGTGAGTGAAGGGTCTACATCCCATGCTCTGCCCCTATCTCATCTACCCAGTCTGCCGTCTGCACTGAATGAGAACTTGCTATGCTCTACCCCCACTCTGAACACCACGGTGAATGTAAATCCATGCAACATGCCAGCTGGTCTCAATAGGTTATAAAAATATAATGTTGGGCAAAACACCTACTTGAGTCACAGAGGACTGCAAATAAGTATACTTATTCCATCTCAGGCTAATTTTGCCGATACTTTTACTGTGAAGAGAAGTAAACATACTTATGTTGTTTGTGTTTCCTCAGGATAGAACATCTTTAAATATTTTGTAATTAAACTGTTCAGAAAAAGAAATACAGTCTAAGTATGTCAAGGCTTTAGATCATACTCGAAAAAAAGCATATTTAGTTATTTTGCTCTTTTAATGAAAATTACAGGTTTCTGAAGAAATAGAGAAAATGTCATCTAGAGAAAGGGCTTTACAGATTAAAATATTAAATCTGGAAACTGAGCTTAGAAAGAAAAATGAAGAACAAAATCAACTTGTTTGCAAAATGAACAGTGTAAGTATTAGTATGGCTTAATGTATTTTCATAAAAAATAAATTAGCAGTTAACATTCTTACCCTGTAGTTTAGTTAAAGTATGAAGTGAGCAGAACCAGGACTCGTGCTTTACTGGTAATATTAAGAATAACAAATAATATAAATCATAAAAATTTTAAATGTCATGATTATGCCGAAGAATAACTACCCTGCATCCTTGGTAGCTCCCAGCACATTTCCCCAAAGTCTCATCAGGCCCTTTACTACATATTACTTTCACACAACAGCTGCTTAGTGAATTATATGGAGGAATTTCTGGTACGAATTTTTCATTTTTTAATATATACAATTTAAACTATTTTGAGTTAGACTTTGATATCTGTCTTGAGTAATGAATATTATACTTTAAAAAGTGATGAGTTTAAAAAAAAAAAAAAAGTGATGAGTTTGTATTAAGTAATATTCAGTGTTGTTATATCTGCGTTTAAGATAGGTACTGTGGGCCACTCAGCCATGAAATGAGAATCCCAAGTTCACTGTGTTTAATTAATCTTCTGATGTCTTTTCCAAAGTATTCATGAAAATAGTCAATTAGCATAAGATACTGTGGAAGCTAGTACTAGTCGTGACTAAATTACTTGAAAACGGTCTACTCGATGATATAGAAAATGATGATACTTTATCTTTTCCGGGAGCCGGAGGTGTAGCAAACACTATCTTTTCATTCCCAAGTGTCTAGAAAGTTGAAAACGTGAAAGGTTCAAAAGTTAAATGATTTTTGTTATGTAATATTAATGTAATTTTATCACCATCAAAATTTCCATGGCAGTTTAATCAGAACAAACATTTCTCACTTTTAATGTAGCATGGGTCTGCTCTTTATTCTAAATCTCTTTTATTTATAAATTTATTTTTTAATTTTCTTTTCTCACCATCAGAATTTCTGATACTATAAAGCATGTGTCATTAAAGCTTCTGAAGAGGGCGCCTGGGTGGCTCAGTTGGTTGAGCGACTGTCTTCGGCTCAGGTCATGATCCCGGACTTCCAGGATCGAGTCCCACATTGGGCTCCCAGCTCCTTGGGGAGTCTGCTTCTCCCTCTGACCTTCTCCTCTCTCATGCTCTCTCTCACTCATTCTCTCTCAAATAAATAAATGAAATCTTTAAATAAATAAAAATCTTTAAGCTTCTGAAGAAATAAGTAGTGAGATGAGTTCGGTTTCTCTGTAATGTTCTCAGTGCTTGATTAAATCTGCAAAATAAGTTTAAGACGTGGTATTCTATTAAACTTGCTAATTTTTATAGTAATAAAAATCTAGAATTCTAAGCAGAGATTTAGACATTGCTGAGTCTGTGTGTTCTGTCCCTTCCAGGGGACAGTTCCGTGGTCAGGTCAGTATTTATTTTGTATACATGTCCTAGCTCCAGTTGAGTTGTTAGCAGCCTGAAAGCCAGTCTCATAGTTGGTTATACTCTAGTGTCCTCTACAGTGCCCTGCCCACAAGCAGGCTTCTTTGGATTTTCCGCCCCAGTGCTTCAGCTGGAGCAGGGTGAATGCATAGACCCAAACTTAACCTGGGCTGCCCTGCCTGAAGCCTGAAATGCTTGGTAGTCTAACAGATTATCCTAAAATCCATGAACATTTACATTCTTCCCTACAATAGAGGTGTGTTCTTATTAATATTTTGCCCTCCAAACTGTTGAGTAAAACTGATGTTTCACAAAGATTTGCTGTATTCATTCTGTATACTTTGTGTAGCCCAGCCTAGCACATTGCTTCATACCACTCCACTGCCCCCAAGGGGTATTGCTCAGTTTCAGAAGGTATCACGTGTCACTGACTACCAGATAGGAAGGAAATAAAAGATTCTCTTCTTAAGGTGCCTACATTTCAGTTGGAAGCTAGATGTTATTTGCAGCCTGTCTATCTGAAGTATTTTCAGTGAATAGATCTACTTGAGAATTTATATGCAACCAAATATTTTTTAAAAATATATTAGGCTTTTAATTTTTCCCTCAGAGAACACCTATTATAATAATGAGAGTTCTTTTTATTTTTAAAGGATTCTAAAAATAAAATGTTCATATTATCAAAACTAGAATTCTGTCACTTTTTAAGATAACAAAAGTCTTATAGTATAAAATACGAAAATGGCAAAAACTGGTATTAAAATAGGTCATGTTAAATGTAATGAAAAATAGTTATGATGGTTTTAAATAAAATCTATTATGTTAATCATGTTAAATATGTAATCATTTGACGTTGATTTTATTACAACAAACTATATCACAGTAAGATCAACCATGTGTGTACTTTAGTTATGCTGGATTTTAAAGAAAAGTGAGCTCTAAGGTAAGTTGTTAATGCACATATCAGATGTTAGAATTCCCTCATAAAAAATTAAAAGTCATGTATTTAATTGTTGTATATATAAATTTTACATTATAACTCTACCCTTTGATATGAATGTCATTATTGATTATCTTTATTTTTTCTTTATTTAGAAAGCACAACACCAGGAAGTATGTTTGAAGGAAATACAACATAGTCTTGAAAAGTCGGAGAATCAAAATGAGAGTATTAAGAATTATTTACAGTTTCTTAAAACTTCTTATGTAACAATGTTTGGATAAATGGTTGGGTTTATTTTCTAGAAGCAATAGGATTTTACTCTAAGTCTAAAACGTGATTAGGTACAAAAATAATAATAAATATACTTTAATTTATGGGTGGTAGTAGTAGAGTTTTTATGTAGTTTTCTTAAATACAATTTATTATCCATTTGCAACTTTAAAATAAGATACAGATGTTAGTATTCCTTTTTGCTGGATAATTTTCATTTAGCTCTCGTTTAAATACCTATTCAAATTATATTGATTTTTAGAATGGTTTTCACACACACAAAAAAAGCCAGAATCATTTTTTGTGACCGTCTGTAGCCATCATTTGTAATAAATCTAGGCCAGTTTTAAGCCAAATACATGATTTTGAATAACATATATAACATATATAGTTGTTTTACTTTGTGGTAATATATATATTTTTTTCCTTGATTTTATAGATACATATCTATAAAATCAAGGAAAGTATTCTGGATATTGTTAATAATAGTATAATTGTTAATAATAGTATAATTATTTAGGACACCTGGGTGGTTATTAATTGTTAATTAATAACAATTAGTGGTTAATTAATAACAATAAGTGGTTAATAATTATTAATAATAGTATAATTATATGGAACACCTGGGTGGTTCATTCGGTTAAGCGGCTGCCTTTAGCTCAGGTCTTGATCCCAGGGTTTTGGGATCAAGTCCTACAACGGGCTCCTTGCTCTGCGGGGAACCTGCTTCTCCCTCTGTCTGCTGCTCCCCCTACTTGTGTTCTCTCTCTCTCTCTCAAATAAACAAATAAAATCTTTTTAAAAAATAGTATAATTATATGCTTTCTAAAGATACCAAATGTCAAATTAATACTGTTTCAAGTATGATGCCATTATAATTTCTATGAGGCTTTTAATAGAGAATATTAACTCATAGTGACAGATGAAAACATGTTGGCATACATTGTTTGTTTATAAAGAGTGGGCATTTGGGCTCTCCTGTGAGTTTGTAGCCTCTTTTCTGTTTCATTTTTTATTAGTGATTGTCTGGGATTGTCACTGTAGACCTTCTAAAGCCCTAAATTAACTAAAAGATTAAAGGGAACGACTTGTTCCACCCCTTTCCATAGCCAGCTCCCTTGGGATGATCAAAATAAGCACTGTTAATACCAAGAAGTTGTAGGATAAGGTCTTCATTATTGCAGTGACATAAAAGAGATACCAAGAACTTACTCCCCCCAGTCTCCTACCCGATGTGCTAAGGCAGAATCCTCTAAAAGGGGACTGATGTTGTCAACAAGCAATCAGGTAATAGAATCTCCTCTCAGACAATGGCTTGGGGGCTGTTTATTCAAAGAGCACTCAGGTCTCAAAAGATCATTCAGAGAAGCAAATTGTGTACTACATGGTCCAGCCTATGAACAGAGCTGTCTCCCCAAGAGGTTTTATCCTCTTCTCTGACTAGAAATGGGATCCTGCTTCTCTCTGGTCCGTCCCCCTCACTCGTAAGACTACCATAGGAACTACAGGAGCTATTTGTCAATGACCCAACTGCTTACTAGTATTTTTCTTAAAATAGCTTAATATAGTAATTTCAGGAACTGGCCATGTTTTTTGACCAACAGTTGCTAACAATATTAATGTTGCCTTTTTTTTTTTTTTTTTTAAATCATACTTCTTTTACCAAAACACATACTTGACCCTTGTGGTCCTTTCTTCACCCCCTGAGGCAAAGAGAGATTTAAGAAATACTCCAATGAAAGGAAACTAAGGTTCTTGAGTACTGTGCACTAGACTGCACTCTTGAAAGGCAGAACTATACCTTCCTCATATTTCTATTCCAGCCACCATTCAATAGCCAGTACGTAGTAGATGCTTGGCTGATGTTCGTGGATAGATGGATGAATGGATATTGAGAGAGAAAGGTATTTATATTCCTCTTTTACATATGAAAAAAATGTAGGTGTAGAAGGATTAACTACCATAACTATGATATAAAACTCTTAAAGTTGACATTTGAGCTCAATTCTTCTGATTCTAAAATTAAAGTTCTGCGTACAGTGCTATTTTGCTGTTGCAAGCAGCAGTGGCATTGCTCTTATTTACTGAGGACTCACCGTGTGCAGGACAGAGCTCCCTGTGTGGGATATGTACTAACTTATTTAATCTTTACACTTAGTAGCACTTAGTGGGTGCTATTAGTTCATTTATTTTTCAGGAAACCCAAACACAGAAAGGTTTCTTGTCCAAGGCCACAGACTTAGTAAGTGGCAGGTATCCAGAGTCTCTGCTCTTAACTTTTATTTTACATAAATAAATAAAGGTAGAGGTTTCTTAGAACTATCATACATTTACCTCCTCTATGAATATTTCCTTTTTATTTACTTCTAATATTTACCAAGGTAGTCTGTGCCTCTGTGTTAAGAATTAGTCACTGCAGTGTTTCAGATACACTGTGGAAGGAAATGACTACTGTGGAGTCCCTGGGGTTGGTGTTCAGATGCTCCTGACAAAGGACAACAGGAAATGTGCCAGACCCTAGGAGAACTGTAGCCTGGAGGACAGACATTGGGCTCTTCTGGTGCCAAACTCGGCATCAGGGAGGCCCAGAGTCAGTGCCCTGGTGTTCCTGAGCACTGTCCTTTCTGCCAGCTCTCCACTATCCCAGAAACTTGTCCTATGGTGCTGACAGCCTGACAGGGTTTTCTCTATCCTTGATATTCAGGGCCTCAAGTCTTTCTTGAGTCCTAAAAGTTTTTCCCATTATTTATGCAATTATTACCTCTCCACATGTTCCTTTCTTCCTCCTTGTTTTGTCTCCTGGATATGATCTCCACACAACTTGCCTTTTCCCCTGGGGTCTGTCACAGGGTATCTTGTGAGGTATTTTCACCTGATTTTTCTGACCAATAATGTGGTTCTCAAGGGCAGTCATTCTCTTTCTGTTGGATATTGAGTTTCTAATTAAGAACTCACGTTTTTTAGTTCCTAAAAGTATTGGGTTTTGGGGTTTGTTTTTTTTTTAGTACTGTAATTCCATTATATTTTCATTAAAATTCTCATCTGTTTCTTCCATTGGTTCTACTACAGTAGGAATCTCGAGTTTCTGTTCTGCTGGCCATCTTTCTTTCCAAACCCCATATGAGTTTTAATTTTCCTTGCCTCCTCATGGTTGTGGTTCCCTCAATACCTGTCAGCAGCCTGCCCTGCGCATTTCCTGGGCAGTAGCAAACCAGGTGATGAAAGGCAGATGGCTTCAGTTCTCATGGCCTGAGATCGGCTACCCTCAGCTGAAGGGCTGTGAAAAACCATTCTGCTCCCAGATGTTTTCAGTCACGAGCATCAATTCTTCTCAACTCCCAAGACTAGAAGCACTTCACTCCACTGAAGAGCCTGCTTCAAGGTGTTCTGGGGTCCATAAGTTTGTTGAAGCGAACAAAAAGCAAAAGTCCCCAGTGGAGGGGAACCATAGGCATTGTTGTCTGTACCGAGAATACTGCATGGCAACTTAAAGAATGAATTCAATCTATATGCTGGTTTGAGATTTGCTCATAATTTTTGTTTATAAAATTTTTATTTTAAACTTAAGAGTCAAAGAATTATGTATTTGGTATGATTCACCTTTTGTAATAAAAAAAAGTCTCATGAATAAGTTGACATATGTTGATATAAGCATGGAGAAAGGTGTTGAGAAGCCTACATGCCTTGGTAGGGATGGAGGAAATAGTATTTATTCCACTTATTCCAGTGTGATTATTTGCTAATCAGTTAATAAAAAATTTTAAAGGTTGGAAGACAGTCATGTTAGGGAATAGAAGAGTAGGACTAGTGAGAGGTTATGGTTTGACAATGAAGTAGTGGAATTAGGTTTTCACAGGGGGGATTAGTTAGGGACAAGGAAAAAGTGAGAAGTCGGCTTGAGGTGGAGTAGAGGTCACTGGCGTGCAGGGTGCTGTCGTTGAAGCCCTCTATGATGTGGAAGGGATTGGAGTAGAGCTGAAGGGCAAGCATTCTGGTTAGATGTGGGCAGATGAGTAGGTCACTGTGCTAAGGAATGAAAGTTTTAAAACTCCACCACTGGTTTCTGATGACATTTAGAATAATATCCAAAATCCTCAACAGAACCCTTAAATTCTTGCATGTTTTGGCCCTCAGGTTCCTGGCCTCATTGCTCTGCCCACTTTCTCACCCTCTCCTACCATTTTCCTCCTCACCCACTATGCCCAGTTGCACTTGGTTTCCTTGAAAACTGAGTTCATTCCTACTTTTCTTTTGAAATACTCTTTCCCCTACTTTGGCCTGACTAGATCCTCCTCATTCTTTCAATTCGCTTCCTACTCTTCTTTCAGAATTGGCAATTTTTTTATCTGTGTGATCATGTGGTATTTGTCTTACTGGACTTTAACAGTGAGATTTACTGTTCTGTAGCCTACATCTAACAGGGTGCCTGGCACATAGCAGCCACTAAGTATATATTTGTTGGATGGCTAGGTAGGTGGAGGGATGGTGATACTGCCATTAGTTCTGGGCTTCAAAGTAGGGTGAGAGGAGTTGCCAGGAAAAGTAGGAGAGTTATATAGTCTTGAAGAATGAGTAGCTCTCTCTCCTGCTGGCCGCAGGAGAAGCAGTTTCCTGGGTGAGGAGACAGGTTTCCTTTCAGGCAGAGCTGGAGTCTGAAGAGAATCAGGGGGCAGGGGACCTTGCCTATAATCAGATGTGTGTCCCAGAGGCTACAGTGGAAAATGGAAGGGAGTTGGCATTGGGAGTGAGTCAAGAAAGTGGAATTGATTTTAAAAGGAATTTCTTTCTTTTTTTTTTTTCCTTGTCTAAGAATTAATAAAAGTCCCATGTGGTATCTTCTTTTCTTCTGATACTACTCATTTTGGAAAGTTAAGTCCCAAGTATAACATTAGTGTTTTTTATTTAACATTGCAACCAACTGTGGTACTTTCCAATAACACTTCCACAAGAGGAAAAAATATTAAAAATAAGTAAATAACTGTTTTTCCTTAAAACAAGATTTCCTTAAGATTGTAAAGTTTAAGTACATTAAAAAAAATGAGTATCTTGTTTGTTCGTTCTTTGGCATGGCGTGAGGTAGGGTTAGAGGGAAGGAAAACTGTTAGGAGCCCTCTCTATCATTTGTTATTTGATGAAGTTAATACTGACAACAGACTAAGCTTAAAACCAGAGAAATTAAGACTGTGATTAGCTGTCACATTATTTTAAATAAATATTTTAATTATAAACTGTGACCCCCCCCTTTATGCAAGCTTAAAGTTTATTTTTTGCAATATCTTTGTAAAGTAGATCTCTTTCCTATCATTAAAGCTCAATTTTTTAAAAGAACTGAATA